ACTACACACTTCTATAGCTTCAGAATAGTTTAGCTAGCTTGCGTTGTAGTCTGATTAGATACTGAATAATGAGCCTTAGTGTGTAATAAGCTTGGGATTTTAAGTGGTTAAGCTAGAAAGCTGCTGTACACAAGTAGAAAGAAAACCTTTATAACCTTTATAAATCTTTTAAACCTTTTTAAAAGAAAGACAGGGAGAACTTTATAGGATGTTAGATTGAAAGCAGGAGGAGCTTCAGGCATGACCCTCCTCCTTAACCTTACATATTTCATAATTCAATTTAGAGTGTACAAAAAGAGCGGAGAGTGAGTTACTCATGCATATTAAAGGAACATTTAAGCATGTATATAATGTCTATCTCAAAGGCATTATATATGAAAACTATTAGTAAAAAAATGTATCATTACCTGTGTTAAGGTTTATGTAAACTTAACAGTTACCTGTTATTTGTCCTTTGATCAGTCCTCCTTTGAAAGAAATAAAATAAGACATTTTTAATAAAAATAAAATAAATTACTCACAGAAAAAAAAAAACTGTGCTTCCCATCCTTTTTAGCAGGAACTTACCATTCATTAGCAGCAGCAGAGGGACGGACAGTAGGACTAGAAACCTCATTGTGAATAATGGCTTCCAACTTCAAACCTGCAGGAACAATCAGCATTACAAACCAACCTTTATTTTTGCATGCATGTTGCCAGGTAAGTGCTCCTGCAGGTTATAAAACAACAGGCTATAAAAAGGCATACAATTAAACAAAAATGAATCTGAATTCAATTTTGACTTTAATCTAAAATTAATCTCATTTGTCAACACAATCACAGTAATTAAATTTGAACTGTTTTTAAATATCAAATGCCAATTTTATGTGTATATTACAATATTGGAATTTGACTGAATGGCTAATCAACATAGCAAATTATTTGAAAAGATGTCATTCTGGAGTTAGTAATTTAAAATAAAAATACTTCTAGTTGTAGAAACACCAACATATTTCAAAAAACAGTTGTGATTTAAAAAATGTTTAGTAATAATGTTTTAGTATTAATAGTGTAATTTGGTAATGTGACGTTAGACCTAAATGTATCGTATGGCATTTTCAGAATTTAAACAAAAACCACATGCAACAAGAAAACCCATGACAGGATTATATTCATTCAACAAAACTGGTTAGCAAAAAACACATGGCCACAAAACAGCATATGAAAAGAAAATGTGCTTCAGTTTGAAGGACAAATGAGAATGAGTGGCCAAAATTCTTACCTGAGAAGCCACTGCAGAGCAAACTCAGTCTCTTCCTCTCTCTCTCTCTCTATTACTCCAGTAGAGGAACCAGTGTGGTCCTGCAGCTGCCCTTTATTTGCATCATATTTGTACCTTTCTTTAAGAGTATGGGTGGATCACAGCTAATAGGATTACTTCCTTGTACAGCAAGTCAGAAGAGAAAAAGAAAAGAAAAAAAAGTAAGATTGATGCAGTTACTCATAATGAAATCACTGTAACACCATGATTCACCATGTGCATTGTCTGAATGTCAAACTAACACAGGCACTCAAACTTTGTCTAATTCATTTTCTCTTTAACACACATACAGAGGTGTCAAATTCATTTATTGGGAGCTTGGATGCTCAACTCTGAGACATTTTACTGTCATTTTACTCAGAGTATATATATATGTTGTGCAGGTCTAGGGTCATTGATGGAGCTATCTGGAGTTGGTGATTTTTTTGAGTGAAGAGATGATGGATGCTGATTAGTAGAAACAAATTTAATTCACCACACAGTACCCTTTGGAAGACATTTGGGAAGACACTCATTAAAGACCCCAAGCTGGTCTTCTTAGAATGGTGGACTGGCCACTCCAGGGCCCAAACCTTAACATTTTTAAATGTAATTGGGATCACTTGGTCACGAGAGACAGAACATGGCACCAGCTGCTAAGACTTAATGTTGGTGGTGTTTTCAGGGAGCTTGAACAACCCAAAAAAATGAAACCAAGTCTGAATTCACATTACATTTTTTCTATGACATTTTGCTGTTAATAAATTTTCTGTTTAATGTTCATCTGTCTTGATGAAAAATAACTTACTTAGTGACACCCTGTCAGAGTTGCTTACTGCCCATTTATTGCCATGTGTGACTTACTTGTCAGCAGCCTGATTGAAACTTAGTCATGCTGTCTTCACTGGGGTTTTTTTTTGGGTGGATGTGACACCTTTGGGTGGATGGGACACTCTAATTAATGTGCACCCAGTCTTGTTATACTTGTTATACCTACTGATTCAACTGTCAAACACACTTCAAATAGTTATAGCACTACCCACAACACCAACCTGATTCACTGACTCCACCTATGATTTATAGACCAAAGCCTAACAGATCTAGATATTCATTATAGTTATCTTACTTTTCTGTTTTACATGATTCAGACTTTACACACACTTGAAATAATATTTTCATGGATTCTGGCCTATTTTGCATTAATGTTGTGGAATTTACAGTATAGTTACTGTTATGGACATCAGCCTCCAGGATTTATAGAGCAAAACAATGATGTATCAACATTTAAAGTAAACTTAAAATCTATTTTTTTTACCTTGGTCATTCATGCCCCTGGTTATATTAACTATGATTCATCTAACCTTTAAAAGACAAAATAATTTTACAGAATTTTTTTTTTCCCTTCAAAATAGAATGACTTTAGCCTTTTCCTTAACAAATTAACACTCCTCCTTCCTGATATGATGAATGTTTAACTCAGATAAACATGCGACTAGGAGAAGTAACCCTTATTTTAAATGTTTACTGTAATTTTATAGCAGTTAGGTAACATACATATAATTTTAATTACACAACATTTCAGTATTAACTGTAGGTATATTGGACCACTTTGTGTTTTAAACAATTCCTGTTTTTTAATCAATGCTTGATTATATATTTGATAAATATTTACTCTTCCGGCGTCATCATGGTTGTACACCTCATGTGAATTTTACGAAAAAACAATCAGAAGTAGATTATAATGATGTATAATGCCTGTAATGTTACAAAAAATTTATAGTGATGTAAAAAACTGAAGCAAAAGTCATGCTGTTTGCTTTGTTGTTCAAGCAGACTAAGAAACTATATTTTATTCAAAGATTCTTTATCCAGCATTATTACAGCTTATACAGAGAGAGAAATTGTGTAATAATGTCATAAAACTGGATCTGTCAGTCTTGCTTAAATTGTGCTGCATCAGGAGGAAATGTTATACAGTCTTAGGAGGAGTTTGCAGTCTAAAGAAACTGCATTCCAGCACAGAGGCCACACCATTACACATGTCTGTACAAGGAAATCAATCAATTAGGAGGAGCAAAAGATTGCCAAATTTTGGTGAATGTAATTTTTAATTTCAATTGCAAGTTCATGTTAAAGAGCTTCTAAATGTACATAGTAAAAGTGCTGAAGTGCATTCCAGTACTGAGGCCGCTGCCATGCACTCTCCTCTGCCAGGAAACTGCTGCATCTTATCAGGGCATTCACTTATTTAGAAACTTGTGTAGAATACATGCTGGGGCAAAAATATAAAAATGAAAATGGGCAAAGTAAAAACATGTATAACATTTAAAATTTAATACCGAATAGCTTTTTCTACCATTTTTTTCCAAATAGTGAATTCTTTAGGGGTAAAAATGTAGAAACGTATATATTGTTGGATTAAATTTTAATGGCCACTCACAGCATTGGAAATTGTTGTCTAGTTAATGTGAGGTTAATGTCAGACCAGTTTTCAATGGCCCTAATAGCGACAGGACCGTTGACCACTGTTGGAGTTGTAATAATCAATGCAGGACAAAATGAAGGCATTGACCAGTATTTTGGCATCAGTATTGTTGAGCAGAGGGCGGAGACGTGCAGTGTTAGGCAAGTGGTTGAATGAAGTCTTAGTAAGTGTCTTAATATGGGGCTCAAATGAAAATGAAGAGTTAAAAATTAATCCAAGGTTTTTACTGACTTGAACTGATTTGACAAGGATACCCTCTACCTTGACAGTGAGATCAGATAAATTGGAAACCAGTGCTTTAGGGCCGATTAACAAGACTTCAGTTTTGTCTGCACTCCAACCAATGTGTTAAATCTGTAACGCATGTACTTAGTGACTGAGCTGAGACTGCGGGGGATGCAGTGCTTATGTAGATCTGGTTATCATAAGCATTATAGTGAAATTCAAACCCATAATTACCAATGATCTGACCTAGTGGTGAGATGTATAATATGAAAAACAAGCGTCCAAGGACAGAGCCTTGGGGCACTCCCTGAGCAACTGGAGCAGTGGATGACTTGTGTGAACCAACAGAGACAAACTGTTGCCTGTTAGTAAGATGGAACCAAGCAAGAGCTGAGCCTGAAATGCCTATAGAAGAAAGCCTGGAAATAAGTATATCATGATTCACAGTGTCAAAGGCTTCAGTGAGGTCAACGAGGATGAAGATATTAAGAAAACCAGCATCAGCAGACATTGAAAGATCACCAAGCATTCTTAATAGGGCAGTCTTAGTCTCAATTTATCAGTGATGCCTTATTAGTTATGGAGCAAGCGCTTCAAAGACATATTTTATATTGGAGGAGGTTGAAGCAGAATCCATTCTGCAGAAAGTGCGAAAGTCCATGGATAATTCCATTTTTGTTTAATCTGATCCTAGTTCAATTGTGTGAGCAGATGACCAGGATGCAGCCCTCTGAGGCACAATGAACTGAGAGAGAGCGCAGTGGAAAAGTCAGAGTCCAGGGAAAGACAGTAAAACAAAAACACAAACAAAGCAGAAGACGCCAGAGAGAAGCGGCAGCCACAAACACGCTCAGCATACTCTCAACCAAGAGTTGTGAAAATAAGCATTCTTAAGTAAAAGATTTGCAGTAGCAGTTAAAACTGTTCATGCTCAATTGGTGAAGTCTCCCTAGCTGGTCTTTGGAGTGCTTTTGGGAAGCAATTCCTAATAGCAGTAAAATTAACAGAATGCCTGTACAGTAAGCTGCAGAGCAGTAATTTGGCCTGATAAACTCGTAGAGGTACTAGTTGCCTGGACATGCTTTCACTCTAATTTGGGGGGAACTGAAGTCACAGCAGTCATATCCTACACAGACCTGCTGAGTAACCACCTGGCATGTAACCACATCTTTTATCTGATAATGAGGATCACTGAGCATCCATATGTAGGAACACAGCTCTGTGGCCTACAGATCTTCATCCCATAATAGAACAACCAGTACCTACCATTCCAGTTAAAGTAGGAGTCACAAATGCTTGATCCAGCTGCACTACTGCATCTCCAAGGTTGGTCCAGAGAATTGAAGTTACTGCAGAGATCATACTTAGAAATGGCAATTAAAAAAGGAAAGCACTTTATTGGCCAACATGTGACACTGATATAGGTACATACCACCACAGGGTATAAGTGGAAGGGGAAAAAAACAGGGCCCTTTAATGTCCTTTTTACTGTAACTGTGCCCTGGTGTACTAGCATTACGTAGAATGTACCTACACTCTGCAATGGTCTGTCTTATGACTGTAGTGTAATTCTGAGGAATCCTGATAAAGTCTGCAATGAGGAATTTTACACATAAAATTTGACACATATATAATATGTGTGTGTGTGCGCGCGTAGTTGTGTGTGTATACGCACGTACAACTATAGCCTTACTAAAGTGCAAAAAATTCACTATAGGTGTTACACACAGCATAAACACAATGCACTGCCTTGTGAAGAAACCACGTGAAGAAATGCTGAAGAACAATTACCCCAAAACTGCAGGAAATCATTTCACAAAAAAAGTAAAAATAAAATGTGACCTGTGCATTTCATGTACACACCCACATATTGCTGCTGACCGATGAAGACCTTGTATCTCCATTTTGCCAGTGCCTGTTGCCCTTCACATAGTGTGTAAATTTTGAAATGAATGGACCAAAACAAATGGCCCAAAATGACTTGGAAGTCTAGTTCCATTGATTTACATTAAAAGTAAAGTAGGTTTTTTCCTTCTCCTATCAAGTTACCATTTTGGAGATATAAGGTTTTCTCCTGACAACAGAGATATATATCTATATATCCAGGCTTACTATATACTAAGACTTATTACACAGTAATTACAGGGACTTCAATGCAAACTGTTAAAGCTATTCTTAGGTTATAGAACTGTGTAATAAAAAATTGGGCCCGCTGGTGGGCCTGGCCTCTTAGGAGTTAAATAGAGTGCTACTTACATATTTATAATTTAATTAAATGTGTGTTTATAGACATGGTCATAACCATAACTTAGCATGAGGTCTGGACCTCTGTAGCTTTTGGAAGGAGTTTAGGAAATTTAATGTGGAGACAGTGACATGACTACCCAAGTCACGTCATGTTTTTAGCTGACTTCAGAACAGCTGTAGTTTGGCCACAGATGACAAATGCTACCCTTTGACTTCTTGAGATGTACACTGTACAAAAAACTGAAAAGAGAGCTCAAAATTGCTTCTTAAAAATGTTTGAGTTTTCTCAAAAGCTACTGTAGTCATCCTTACTAAGGTTCATTTGTTTAACCAACTTAGAATTCTTTGTTCATCCAACCTCAGGCTGCCAATAAAGTGTATGTTTTAAAAAGGGAAACAGCCTACACATTTACAGCCATTAGAAAACACCATCATTGAGAATGACTTACAGTCTAATCATATTAACCTAGCATTACAAGTCTTGTCCAGAAACCCCTGGTTCAGTCCCAAGTAAGGAATCAAACCACCATTCTGCTCTTCGGTATAGAATAGCAGGTAACACTGTAACACTGTCTTCCACCTAAATCCAGGGTTGGATTTCCTGCCCAGGCAAGCACATCATGCTCCTAATGCTCAATTAGGCAGCCTAACATTGGATGAACTAAGAAATCTAAGTTGGTTAAACAAATTAACCTTAGTAAGGAGATTATAATAGATGTTAAGAAAAAGTCTTAATGCATCATATTGCCTTGAAATTTTGAAATCTTTGTTTTTTTCAGTGTACAAGTATGCAGCATGCATATATACATACATATGCAGTATATACACTGTTATTGTTCAATGTATTGATGGTCATAAAGCACTCATGACAGACACAAAATCAAAGCAAATTACAAATTCTTCTCATTCATAGAAGATTTCTATTGCATTTGTGAACTGTACAGTAATCACATAATAAACCTACATTATCACAAATCCTACATTATCAGGATGATCACCTTTCAAAAAGATTAATTCATGTTTTATACTGAACTCATGAACAGTTTTTTGTAATGTATAAGAATGTGAAATGTCATTAACTTGCACTATGTATTTAATGAATGAGGCTTTGAAATGCAAAAAAGAGGAACAAATACCGCCAAAACAGAAACGTTTCATTCATTGAAAGATAATTGTGGGGAAAGTAGGAAATGTATTGATATCTGAAGCCAACTCTGACTTTGGATCTGAATGAGGTATAAAAGTCATTCTGCAACCCTGTTTGCAGATTCATTTTCCAGTATTATTATTAAAAACAGTAATTTATCATTATTCACCAACATCAATATAACCTGTGAGTGAAAATTCAGAAGTGTTTGCACAGACTGGTTTGTGGTAAAAGACATCACTTACACTGAAACCAAAAACTAAAAGAAAGCCTGCATTGCTATAAAGGTGGCAGATGGAACCAGGTGTTCGCATAAGAGGCTACTAACATGGAAAAAATGCTCAGTTTGCACAGCAAACAGTGACAATACTTCACAATGAGCTGATACAAACAGACAGGTTAAATACACAAGAGAACAGGTGAACATGATAAGAAGCCAGGAGAAGCTGAACAGTGACAAGTGGATCTTGTTGAGTCCTGAGTCATGGGAGGGAGTGAGGGGTTCTGGGAGAGGCAGTCTATGGTGGCAGAGTCGACTGTAGTTCCAACCGGGCCGGAGGAAGGCATGTTAACAGCAAGCAGAAGAAAGGAGATGGTGGGACCTGGCAATTAGAACAATCATTTAAAAATTAATTCAGTGTTTTGAAACACTCAAAACGCTGCAAACTGGTGAAAACTGCTGGCCAAATCCATGTAAACCAATGGTGAGAGGATATGCAATTATTTTGTATCTCAAATAATTTCTGACATTTTCAAAAAGTTGTGTACTTACAGAAAGCATGTGCAAAGTCCAAATAGTTATAGAGCATCTATATCCTTTTACAAAAATAATAAAAAATAACAATAATAATAATGACACCTCATTGTGTTTTAATTGGTATGTATTTTGTAAAATATGGTAGCACCATCTAGTGGTCATCATAGCAATAGTAACACAGCAACATTGGGCTATCATTGGCCTAAATGAAAAAAGAGAACAAGAGATGCATATTTTAGGACAAATGTCCAAGTAACTGGACTTTGGAGGATTAAAGGCTTGGTCTAGCTGCTATGTGTGATAGGTCATTTTCAGTCTGCCACTGGCAGCCCTGTCACCCATCCTGTGGTCAGACCCAATGCCACCACTGGATGGAAGCAGAGAGCCACCTCTAGAGACAACCGGTCACACCTGTGTTTGGCTCTACTTAAGAGAGTGCTCAGTCATGAGTTTGCATGCCATGTGCACACAACTCTTGATCAAGCTGGTATTTAGATAATTGCCTGCAAGTCTCTCAGCGTTTGCAGGTACATTTTTCATTCATCAAGGTACTGTCTGGGCCAAGGGCTATCCCCTGGGCCAAGGGGTATCTTTTAATACCAGCTAAACACTTACATTAATAATTGTTTCAAGTCCAAGTTCTCAAAAGATGTCAAAAAGGAAAGAGTCTTCAAATGCTGAGCTTGTGGAAGAGGGAAAGGGCTTCTTCTTTATTTCAGCATCAGGTGGCACAGGGTCTCGAGAGATCCAACTGCGCAAATACAGTGTTCCAAACAACAGTTTATATACCATTTATCTGGGATATCCCCCCTCTCTTCACTGGGTCAGTAAGTACACACAGGCCTCTCTGTGAACCCAGGGGCTTTCCAGTGTCTAGAATCTCCTATGCAGACAGACTAAGGCCTACCATTTTTGAGAGAATTAATATTCTCTGTTAGCCAATACTACCTATTTGGTTATTGATTACAATATCTAATGTATTTGATTACCGATTAAGGAAATATTTATTTAAAATCTCTGTCAGTACAAACAATGTAAATGTTCCCTCAAAGGTACAACAGTAGTTTTGAGGTCCAATTGTGCACCTTAAATAAGTTTTTCCAGGTGAAAAGTATGCATTTGTACCTTTTCATAACCTAATGTTTTAAAACAGAACAATAAAATAAAAAAGCCTGGAGACGGGTGTGTGGAGTCAATACAACTTAGAAAATATAATTTCAATGGATTTTGACTTACAGTTACGTTCCCTGACTAAAGGTACCGAGATGTACCTTGAGGGTACCAGTGACAAGAGGGATGCTGCCCCAGTAAAAGTCTGGGCTCTGACAAGACCAAAACCATCAGTAAAAGCCAATAGTATATTGGGCTTTGGCCTTAACTGATACCAAAAGAGATTACATATCTGAAATCTCATCCCTGAACTGGGTGCCACAGGAATTTCACAGGTGTTTTTGTTTCATTTAGAACAAATGTTGAGCATTAAGCTTGTGGTTGCCAGCCTTAAGTTGATGAGTGACAGGAACATTTTCAAAAGGCCGTCATACATTTAAGATGAGATCATGACCGATGGTCTGATTTGCTAACATAAGAAGGCCGTCCTTTGTCAATGGTACTTTTTAAAATAAAAGACTTGAGGAGATGACTGACAGAATTTTGATAGTGGTTAAACATTTAATGAATTCATTGCTAGTTAGTGATGCAGGTTACTGCTGTCTAGTGGGGCAGGAATATAAAATTAGTACCAGCTCTTCATTTGTTGATTGTATAAAAACAATTCTCACTGATCGTAAGTTGAACTGTGAAATTTACATTGTATTATACTGTAAAGTTCCACCATTACAAAAGATACCACTCTAAAGACCACTCAGCTTTTTATGAGTGCACAGTTCAAAAGCCAGCAACTGTGATGCTATGGGAGTGCATTAATGCACATATCATGGGTGACATGCACATCTGTGAAGGCACCATTAATGCTGAATGGTATATACATGTTTGGGCAATATATGCTGCCATCCAGACAACGTCTTTTTCAGGGAAGTCCTTGATTATTTCAGCAAGACAATGTCAAACTACATTCTGCATGTATTACAACAGCGTTGCTCCATTAAAAGAGTCCTGGTGTTAACTGCCTGCAGTCCAGACCTGTCACCACTGAAACTTTTGGTGCATTATGAAATGAAAAATCTGACAAAGGAGACCCCGAACTGTTAAGTAGCTGAAATCCTGTATCAAACAAGAATGGGAAAACATTTCACTTTCAAAATTACAGCAGATGGTCTCTTCAGACTTTCTAAAAGCATACAGAGTTTGTTAACAGAAGAGGTGATGAAACACAGTGGTAAACATGCCCCCGTCCCAACTTTTTTGGAACATGTTGTTGGCATTAAATTAAACAAAAAAAAAAAATTCTCAGTTTCAACATTTGATATGTTGTCTTTGTAGTATTTTCTTTATAAATATGGTTT